GAAAATGTCACAAGTTTCCCGCTGCAAAGGTGAAATAGATGTGCTTAAAAAAGATCTGGAAGAACTCAGAATTGATAAAAAAGCATTACTGGGGCTAGTTATGCGTTTACAAAGTGAATGTCAAACCTCCCAGGAACGCTTAAAAGCATGTGAGGAGAAGCTAAGAGCAGCAACAAATAAAAGTTCTTAAGTGGGGTGAGGTGGTCTGGAATCCAGAGAAGACCTTGAACAGTGTTGGGATAATCCACCAAAACCTCCAAAAATCTTTTACAGACCTGGTGCTTTTAGACTCATCCATCCACCCTCACCTAAAGTGGTAGGAACAGACCTGAACAGGCCTCCTCCACCAAACATTAAAAAGTGTGCTATAAATGTGTTCGAGGCACGTTCTCATGCTAAGACGCCCATAGAGGTGTTTCCTGGTGTAAAGGTTAAACCCCACTCCCCAGAAATGGAAGGAAGGCGTGCGACGCCACCTCCTCCTAAAACAGGCGAGGAAAGGCAGTATTTTCAAACTAACAAACCACGTGATGAAGGTGCACGCTGGGATAAAAAGGCTCCTCTTTCAGAGGATGAACGTGCTTATCGTATATGGGGCATGCGTAGGACGCAAAGATATGGGATCCAAGAGGACCCATATTGTCAGGGGATGTCCGGAAAGGAACCCCCAAAAGACGTACCTAAACCTCCCCCACCTTGGACGGAACGAACCGAGGCGATAAAATCACAAAGGTCCCAGGAGCAAAGCCCTAAACCTCTGAGCTCGGAGGAGACAGAGGAAATACAAAGGTTTTTAGACACTTTGATACACGCTGAAATGGGAACCCAACCAGGAGCACTGTGTAGTGATGCGATCGCTACTAACTCTGAAGGCGCGAATGACAACATTACAGATGTCGGTGGAACACACCAAGACATTGCTGTTGCTGCCTCCAACAACCCCTCATCGGACGAAGGGGGGATAAACTCACACACAAACGATGATGAGTCATCGCAAACTGAAAACTCAGAAACTGATTTTCATGATTTTGAACTAGGCATTCTAGTTCTGGGAGGACTCCCAGATAACCTGGTACTGAGTCAAGAAGCTGGGCCAGTATGTTTCACGAAACCATCACAGGCCATCGCTCTTTTCTCAAACAATGACGTCGACCAAGGACCACAAACCTATGGTGCCTTGCCCATAGACAGGTCCGACGACTCAGAAAAGGATTCGTTGGAGCTCCCCATGGAGCAAGAACCCTCATCAGTCTCATCACAGATTGAACAGGTGGTCGCCCAAGCCGACACTCTGACATCTGATGAAGAAAGAGACAAACTTCGCCAAGTTCTTTTAAAATATGAAAAGTCATTTTCACCTGACCCAGACATCATCCAACTTCAGAAGTTGGATGATCCTGCAACTAAATCGATGATACTGTATCTGACTGACCCAGACAAATACACTCCATCGAAAGGTAACCTGGATTCCAATCCAGACCTAAAAGTCCTCTTTCAGCTGCGCAAACAGTTAAAACTACTCAAGGACAGCCTAACTTTAGCTCATGGAGCGACGTCCTCACCCGTGTTCGCGGTCTCCCATGACCGAAGGGGGGTGACGCCAGTTAGGATAATGCTACCAGACGCGATAACATGATCAAATCTGACATTCAGAGTGAGTGGCGCACCGAAACGTCGTTTTCTAGTTGCTTAATCACTGCTTTTGTCAATGTTGAAACGTTGTTTAACTGGTTGCTTAGTCACTGTTTTTGTCGATGTTGAGACATCGTTTAATTGGTTTTTGGTATTGTTTTCGAACACCCCAGGCAAGAATGAATTTTGTTGTGTAGTTAAGTTAGAGACTAAGAGGCCTTTAACCATGCCAACCTTTGCGGAGTCAATGTATATTATTGCTACCTTAAGTACCATATTCTACATTGATCTCACAACGCTTAAGCCGAACCTACTCGAACAATTCTATTCGGGGGGGTAGCTAATTCTTTTTGATAAGTCTCGCCATAGACTTCCAAAAACATTTATGGGGAAACCAAACACCCAATCTCAAGTCGTTCGTCTAAAAGACAACAGACAATTGCACCAAACTATATTTTACCATGTAAAGCTAACTTAAACCAAGTTAGAAATGGAAAAATAGTTTGGAACCCTTTTCTATAGGTATAAACCCCTGTAGTTACCCTTTTTCAGCATGTTCCACCCCTTAACTGGTAGTTGTAGCTGTTCCCAACCATAATAGCTTACACACCAGGTGCATATAGTTTAAGGCCTTATGTAAAATCCCCTTCATAAGCCCACCTTAAACCACATAATTGCATGACACATTTGAACCAGAACGGCACAGACTGGACGTCGACCAGAGACGACCTTTGCTGGAGGCGACCTGCAATCCTGACGTTGGTCTCCACTCTTCATCCAGTGGCCGCATCTTCAGTTCAATCCAAGGGTACCCCTCTGTATGCTGATTAATCAACACTTCCAATCGTTGTGGATTTACCGTTGTGGATTATATGACTTTTTCCAGTGGATTACAGACTCTGTTTCCAAGGGGTTAAAGCATTGCTACAATGGAATTACCAACAACATTATGGAATTATCATCAACACAATGGAATTACCAAGAACATTGTGGAATTACCTTGACTTTGTTTTCCTTGCTGGATTACTTTTGACTTTTGTTTTCCTTGCTGGATTACTTTTGACTTTGGTCTTCCTTGCTGGATTACATCAAGCTCAAGGACACTTGAAGGTGTAAGTTCACGGTTGGAATTCATCCCCATGGACAGGCGATGATTTCCAAAGGGGGGACTGTAGTGGACTAGGCCTATGTCAAATCTGACCAGATGGACAGAAACTGTTATTTCATTGATCTGCATCCAGAAATACAGTTTGACCCATCCTGAGACTTTCTTTCTTGAATTAATCAAGTAGAAATGACAATTCTCTATGATCATTACTATTTTACAAATGTTTTGATAATCAAATTGTGTTAGTTCAAACAATGTTTACAGGTTGAAGAGAACTACTCATTTTTATTTTACATAAACAGTAAGTAATGATTTTTATTCCTCATTCAAAGAAGAAATCAGGTTAATATGCATTTCTTGATTTTCTGTCTTCAATGAGCAAATTTGTAAGTGTGTTAGAGTTCGAGGTTCGGTCAACTAAAAAGTTTACTGAAAAGAAATATCATGTTTAACTTTCACAGAAGATACTAGGTGAATTGACTCCACGAAGTCTGAATTTCTCCAACAAACTTTCTGTCTGTTTTAAACAATCTTAATCTCTATCCTTGACTTTCCATAACACCTTACATCACAAACCACACCTCTGTTCTGGTCCATCGACCAATCAAAAAGCTCTCAAATGACCCGGAAGTCGAACCCATTTAAATGTGGCAACTTCCCGGTTCTCTGAGTCTGTGTCGAGATGAGTCGAGACGAGATGAGAAGAGCTTAAAAGAGTAGAGCTCTGAAGGAATTCAGAGTTCTTGAATCCAGAATGCAGAGACGATTTTGGGAATTATAACTTCTGTTTGGATAACCTCACACGACTCCTAAGGGTTCTTAGCTGTCCTCACGGAGACGCTGAAAAAGAGTCAAAAGGAGAACTCTACACCGACGCTGATTCTACCAATCTGCCAGGTAAAAGTTCTATTTCGACCAAGCGTACCATGGGCCAAGCTGATTTTCCAAAGAGCGTGTTGTTCTGGTACTACAGATAAATTCCCTCACACATCTCTCTAAAGATAAATCTCCATTTTCCATCTTTAAACTTTCCTTTCTGCTAGAAAATTAATCCAGATGTTTTCATTAATGTCTGTGGTGATGCAACGGAAAATCATGGCCGTATGGTTTTCCTGATTGTAAAACTGATTAACCAATGTCTGCCGTTTTAGCTGAAAAGTGAAAACAATCGCCGTATTGTTCTCACTTCCTATAAACTATGCTGTTGTTATTTTCATATTTTGCCAAATTAATGTAAATGTTTGATGTTAAACTTTGATTCTGTAAATAAATGACCGCATTCATTTTGATGGGTCAAAGATAAATAACGTCTCTCGTTACATTTCTGTTAAATTCAATGCACGACATTTATACAGTTCAGAAAAATGAAGAACCCGTAAAATGTATGAATATATCCAGTATATGTCATACTACACCCGCCTTCGACTCTTCGGCTGCAGAGCCCGTCTCTGACCCATCAC